CTCATTTTTTACTAATTAGTAATAATATAAAAAATTAGGACTGATGGAAAAAGTCTAATGGCAGTTTTTGAAACAACGCTGGAAGTTTATTTAGTAGTCCTTTTAATTTGTATACACGTTAAAAGTATAAGAAATATGCAATTACTTTATTTTTCTTATAATTTCTATGTTATAATTACAATATTAAATTATTGAATATCAATAAGTTTTTATTATATTATTAAATACTCATTTTTTAAAACCAACTCAACTTCAACTTGTTAGAAAGAATGATTAACTTGTCCGCCTTGCTTTAAATTTCGATACATGTTTGCCATGGAGGTAACTAAATATACAACTTTATATTTCTTCATACAAATTACAATACTAAATTATCGAATATCAATTTCATACTAAATTTGATTGCTATAATAAGAATAATTTTTATATATTATACATATATATCATACATCTTTAATCAGGATATAATTAAGGAAAAAGGAGTTGACGTTACTTTAAAATTAAATATTATATACAGATTTGCATCAAAGCCTTTCTTATGATAGTGATTTTAATCACTGTCAGACATCATCTACACTTATCCCAATTATGCCGCGACTCCACTGTGCTATCGTTTTGTCTTTTATAAAATATAATTATGATTTTATACGAAGTGTTATGACAAGAATAATGAAATAATTAATTATTACAAATGAAAAGTTTATTTTGCTTTAACGTTTGCATAATACATAACATTATACTTTGTAAATTCATAATTTAATTGTGCAATATCATATATTAATTTAAATAACCAAAGCTCCGTAAGTACTTCTGAATTCAAAATTATTAGTGCAACGTTTTCTTTGAAATTGTATCCGTATAACTTACTTGACTTGATGAAGATGCTACTTCAGTAATCACATAGCAATTACTAGTCAAAAACTCAGTTAATAATTTATACATTTTTGAAAGTTCAGTATTAATTGAGGTAAAATTTTCATTTTTTGCATCATTAATAATATTTTCAAAACTTGAGATTGCTAAATAAATGTCATGATCAATTTGAATGTACTCCTCAAAAATTGATGATAAGGATTTTAAAATTGGTTTCATTTCTTTAACTATTTTGTTAGAGTATGTAGAAAGACCTAAATAATATTCCTTTTTCCATGATTTTTTCTCATTTGAATTACTTTTAGTACTAAATAAAGTAGACTATTGCTTTGTCTTTAATTCTACAATATCTTTCAAAACATTTGCATAATTACAACTTAAAAGTAAGTATACACATCTATGTATTCGACGTACTTTTTCTTCTAAATTGTTGACAGTTTCATGATAAGTTGTTTCAAATAATTGATCCAACGGAATCGGAACTTTTACTCCATTATTGAAATCTTTTATACCTACTTTATTATTTATTGGTACAGATCTATAAGTTTGCATCAATTTGATTCTAAAATCATTTTCATCTTGTTGAGTTAAGTCAATTGCAATGAAAAAATAGAAAAAAATTAATGAATATATTTTGTACATTTTTAATAATGTTTTAGGACAAAGTTTATATTATTTAAAAGTTAACTTTTTTTTAATTTTTGCAATATAATTATTATTAAACAAACATAAAAGAATAATTTATTTTCCTTATACTATTAAGTGTATAAATAAAAATAATCTTATTAAAATGACTTAAAGACGACTTATTGAGAATACTAAATAAATTTTCTATCGTTTTATAAAAAAATAGGACACTCTTAGTGTAAATAACATATTTACTAATGAGAATATTTCGACTATTTATTATAGTTGATGTGTTCAAATTTAATACATGTTTTGAAATATATTAATAAAATAATAATTCAATTTATTCTGGTTCCATAACTTATCTTTGTGATACAATTATGTTAATTCTTGCATTATAATGTTTTACTAAGGTCGTTAATCACATATCATATAAATTGGCTTTTATTGATATTATAAATGTACGCGGTTTTCAATTTCTAGTCGAGCCTAGAAATTATTAATACTTGAATATTGCTCCTATTTAAATATAATATGAAATAGAGTTTGGATGAGGGGCTGTCCCTCAGTGGCGTGACCAGCAGATAATATTACCTTGTTTTCAGAGTCAGCACTAGGTATAGGTCTTATAAAATGTTTTCTCGTTAAATAATTACCAGTGTAAACATTATTAAAACGCTCTATAGAGATCAAGCCTCAGTATTATAGTCCCAAATTATTCTAAATTTACTAATATTTACTTATTAATAAACCTGGACACATCTAAAGAGGGGTAGTCTGCTTCTCAACATAGACATATAAAAGTTATTAGCATTGAGATATGAAACTTTTACTATTTAAAAATATCCGGTGAGTCAAAGAACTGTCGGCATACCTGTCATGCTTATAATTGTTTTGAAGCATATGAGAAAGTGGGGGTCGTGTTTCAACTCCCCCAGTGTCAAACATTTTTTCAACGATTTTTTAATATTCCATGATTGATTGTAATACTCTTAAATTAAAATATTAATATATAATACCTGAGTATAATTATATTAAGTATTATTATATAATAACATTAGTTTAGTAAGGTTTAGTTGTTAAAGAGTTGGGCAAAAATTGTCTATGCACTCGGACCTGTAGATTGAGCGTATTTTCTATCGAATTATATTAAATCGGTTTTTTCACATAAGTGATCCCATCGAAGATTTTTTGACATATTTAGGAAATCCTATTCAATAACATTAATATACAGTATGATTTGTTAAGGATACAACAACCTAATTTTATTGTTAAGTAATAATTTTATTTATTTTCATGAATCATTGTAAATATCAAGTTTATTGTAAGAAAAAAATCATTTTCAAAGTTAAATTTTAGTAGTAATTTTTAAAAGTTAAAGAAGTACCTATTATTTTTATTATTACTAAATGGTAAATTGATTAAATTTAATTTTTACTGGTCAATAATCAGATTTATATTACTTTTTAGCTTCGATGCGAAGCGGAGAAGGTATTAATTTTACTATGATGTGTTTTTTTTTTTTTTATGTCTGTTGCCACTTTTTCTCAGCTCTCACTGGACCGATTTCTTTCAAAAGTACGTCAAAAGATCACAAATCGTATTTAGTTGGAGACATTACCCTTAAAAATTGAAAAAAATTACAAATTTAAAAATCGGTAAATTTTGTCATTTTTTTCACTTTTTTTTCTTAAAACTTCCATAACTTTTTCAAAAATCAACAAATCAACATTTGTATTTGATTTAATGTATTTGATGTTAAATTACATTTAACATTTGTTAAGAAACTTAACCTGCTCATTGGGGGGGAATTAAAATAGCAACTTTTTTACAAAAATTAACTTTTTCAATTTAATTTTTGTAAATGTTCCGGAAATACTGCGTCCTTCAAACATGTATCAAATTAAAGCTTATTTTATGTTCTATAAAATGAAAAAAAAAATTTGTCCCGACACTTTATCTTCTACATTTAAACGGCTGCCGTAGTTAAAAAACACTATTTTTTGTTAAAATTTTCGATTTTAAATTTTTAACTTAAAAATGCTATAACTTTTTGAAAAATGTATATATCAACACAAATTTTTTTTTTCTAAATGCATTATAAGTACATATTTCATTTGACATACTTTTTATTAAAATTGAACAAATTCCCCTTATATAGGGGGCGTTCAAAACTTGAAATATTGTAAAAAACATACATCTTTTTCAACTGAACTTTTGAAAATGTTCCGGGAATACTGCGTCCTTTAAACATATATCAAATCAAAGGTTATGTTATTTACTATCAAATGAAAAAAAAAATTTGTCCCGGCATCTTAGCTTCTATGTGCAAATGGCTGTCGAAAATTAAAAAAAAATGTAATGTTTGCATAAAAATCACCTTTTATCGGGATGTTTTTTGTACTTAAAACTGCCATAACTTTTTCAAAAATGAACAAATAAAAATAATATTGTTTTGTATTGAAACCTTAGAAATTTACCTTTCATTTGATATAATTTTTTTTGAAAATCTAACACTTATTCTGCTCACTGGGGGGATTTAAAATAGTAACTTTTTTACAAAAAATAACTTTTTCAACTTAATTTTTGAAAATGTTCCGGAAATACTGCGTCCTTTAAACATATATCAAATTAAAGCTTATTTTATGTACTATAAAAAAAAAAAAAAATTTGTCCCGACGACCTATCTTCTATGCGCTAATGGCTACCGTATTCAAAAATATGCTATTTTAACAATTGTTTTTTTTAAATTAAACACTAACAAACTACAGATTTGCATCGAAGCGTTTTTTATGATAGTGATTTTAATCACTATCAGATATCATCTACACTTATCCCAATTATGCCAAGTCTATACTATGCCGCGACTCCACTGTTCTATCGTTTTGTCTTTTATAAAATATAATTATGGGTTTTTTAACAAAAAAAACTGCTAAAATAATATATAACAATACTTTTTTCTTAATTAGTCTTGTTTGAAAGCTCTACATATACTAGGGTGTTTCAAACGATTCCAAAATCGTTTGTTATTTTTTTTATGCTACCCCTTATTTTTTATAATGATCATAAAAATAATAAATAAATATGTACCATAATAATATGATACATATTTTTATGCCAAATATACTAGATTTATTTTTACATGTATACTTTTGTGGTGTCTCCTTCAGAATCACTATTGGATTCAATCACTATCACTGCATATACTCAAGTATTTCAAACACAAATGGGGTACTGTTGATAATTAATTAATACCCTCAATTTCTTTTTACATTTTACACTTATAAAGCTAATATAAATATAATTTTAGTACTCCCAAGATTTTGATTGAGTATCACTATGATCTTCAATATATTTTTGTGCCTTTCCTGCTCATTAATGCTAATTTATTTAATTTTTAATTAATATTAGCCACAAGTTAACAGTAACTTTTATTAATTTAATTAAGATATTTATTAAATATCATTAAAAATTTGTTTTTTAGTATTTTACTCTTGTAGTAATATGATAACGTATAAATGAATGGTATTCATGACACATTAATGTGATGTATAAATATAATTAAAAGTTTCTACTCTAAAAATAGTTAAAAAATAGTAGTTTTGTTCAAATCTACATTTTCAGTCTGACAACAGTATTAAATAAACATTTTTATTATTTGTCTGTTATATATTTATGAAATTGCCTGAGTGTATCCCAGAAAACCATACTTAACACCAAGTGAGGTCCTAGTCTCATGTAGCATGGCAAAAATCCTTTGTATAGTCCCTGGACACCTTCTTGTTTGAAAGTCTTGGTTAAACATTCTATGTATGAACGGTACAAGAGCCCTCTACCTTTGCTGTCGACGCCTAAAATAATTAATCTATACGCTTAAAAAGTTTTTTGAAAAGAAATTATATTTAATGTTTTCATTTGGATTAAGTTCCCACCTTGATTGTAGAGTCGCGTCGATACTAAATCAAACGGCGCCATCACAAAAGCTACAAACACTCCACCTATCATACTAGTTATAAAGGTGGCCATGATTTTCTGATCCTTTTGTAGTATGCCCTTATTGACTAATGATTCAGTCATCAAGGTCATTGTACTCAATTGAACGGACGAACCGACACTTATACGAACCATAGCACCTGTTGCACCCCGCCATAATCCACGAGTAATTCCATAATCGCTATATATTGACCGGAGGCCACTGAGAGTTCCTGTAGTGCTGTGCTGGTGTCCCACAGCTATACTCTTGGCCGACAACGACTGCAAGTGCACTTTAACCTTTTCAACGATAGAAAATTAAAAGTCATCATTGATTCGTGCGGTGTTACGTTTTAAACCCGTGGGCTGTACCAGATATAAGGGACTGCCGAGAAAGCCTCCAAAAGCACCTGCTCCTGCGCCAACGAGTACAGACATCAAAAGCGACACTGTACCGTCTCTTCTAAGCAACCAGCCGTGTTTTTCTGCCAGGTCGTAAATACCAAATCTCGTACCATTTAATAGTACTTGATGTCCCATGGCCGGCATGAGACCTTTTTGCAATGCAACGATTCCTTCATGTTTGGCTATCACGTAGAAAGCGTGGAAAACATTGCGGTAGTGCACACTATACTTCCCGGACTTTTTTAGTTCTCCTTGTAGTTGAAACCTTGTTTTGATCACTTCCAATGGGTTGGTAAAACATACAGCACCACTAGCGCCCGCTGCGCCTAATAGGAATTCCATTTTAAATCATAACTAGAACAAAAATGAAATTCAGTTATAAATGCATCGAACTTGTTCAGTGTGGCATAACGTTTTTAATCACTTGAATTTTTACTTTTTTTTTTATTATTATGAATAAATTTAGCAATGACTAATTGTGTGTTTATTAATAAAAAATAATTTTTTAAAACTTATTTCATTAGGATGTATTCGAGATAAAATGCAATTATAAGATTAGTTTTTCCTAAATTCCGGCTAAAGGTTAAAACCTTTACATTATAGGTAAGGTAAGAATTTCTAATATTCCCATTATTTGTAACAGTTTGCCCGTGTTTTACTTTTTAAATACTTCGTATAACAGATCACGTCTAAGGGTATGGAGTATTGGGTTCTAGACCTTAAATTATTTCAATTGGAGGAATGATAAAAAAATCGGTTTTTCGTTTCCGTCAAACTGATTTCCTACCTGGTTATCTACTAAAAAATTTGAGAACCATTTAGATTTATCCACCACGAAGCAGTGGCAGTCTTAGCATACAGACAGGATAGGCAACTGGCCGTGGCAAAATTTTTAACATTTATTTTTGCACTCCTTAAATACGGCCCTGATCACATCTTTTTGAATAATTTATTATTTTATTATTTTTATCATAAAAATATGACATTTTACCAAAGTTAGTTAAATTATAATATATAACTATATGTATATATATTTTGTAACAAATAATAGAAACATTTATAAGAAAATAAAAAGTTTCCTAGACATTGAAACAAAATTCAAATATTAATATTAAGATTAAAAAATACCTAATACGTGTAATAATTTAATAGAAATATTAAATATTTATAATAATATACAAATTATTTTTTTAGTCTTAACATATAAATCAAAAAAGTAGTGTAGAGTAAGTAAAAAATATATAAATACATTTTTTAAAAAAGGTTAAATCTCTTAACGATTATTTTTCAATGAAGTACAAATGACTAGTACGAATTTTTCATGGGCTAAACCATCGTCCTATATACAATTACTTTTGTTGTAAATACATATACAATTAACACAATACAAATATTTTTAAATGAAAGAATTGAGTATTATATGTTTCGCAATCTTCACTTGTTTTAAACTACTGCAGTTAATATTTTTATATTTTAAATGCCAAATTGTTACATTCGTGTTTAGGCAAATAAGTTAGAAGATTATCTATGACATCACTAAAAAACAATTAGTTGAGAGGCTAAATTTATTTAATAAAAAATAAATATAGTTTAAAAAACTAAAAAAACCCGCTTTTAAAAGCACATAGAACTAAAAAGTTAAAAATAATTTTTAAAATAAGCTTAAAATAATAATGAACGAAAAATACTAGTATTATTGTGAAAAAAATAATTGAGCGTCGGGCGCTCAATATACGAAAAATATGGCACAAAGCACCCACGCTTTTTTTCACAATAATATTAGTATTTTTCGTTCATTATTATTTTAAAAATTATTTTTATCTTTTTAGTTCGATGTACTTTAAAAGCGTGTATTTTTAGTTTTTTAAACTATATTTATTTTTCACTTTTTATTATCGCTGTTATAGCCTCGGAGTGTTTATTTTCAATTATGACTATCGATAAATATAATTTCTGTATTAGCAGTTAGTGTATTTATAAATTCACAACTGTGTCTTATTACTTTTGATAATAAAGACTATAGCCGCTATATACCTGCGAATATCGTCATAAAAAACCAATTATCTACCTGTATTTGTAATCCCTTGGTATTATACATGTATATTAACTCAAAATAATTTGAACCTTTAAATGTTTATATCTTATAATAAACAATAACAATTTGTTTATATATATATAATATTGATGATACACAGGCGTGTTCGAGTTTGTAAACCAAAAATAAAATTATACAGTAATAGTGTTGTCGTCATTGGTGAACGGGGTGGGGTGAATGCGTTACGACAGTCTGATTTCAAGGCCATAGACGACGAGGTACGCGAGAATAGTAAACACGTGGCCTGTGGAGAGTTACAAACAAACGTATATACACACAGGTGAAACTAAGATAAGCGTGTTAAAAATACACATAATTATTTTGAAATTTTAAGGTATTAAATTTATATTTATTTCTTAATTGCATCAATTGTTTTTTTTTGTTTTATTTTTTATAATTTAATACTAAAATCAACGAAATTGAATAATTTGTAAAATTTCTTTTTTGATTGTGGAGTAATGACGAGTATTTCAGCTAGTCATTGTATGTTGTGAGCATGTAACAAATATTCACAAAATTATTACTAATAATTTTTTATAGTTTTGTATAAAACAATTTATCTATTTATAAATTGTATGAATCTGGTTCTTCATTGTGTCGACGATTCAGAGATAACAAAACTAGTATGAATAAGAACATAAAGCAGTTTTAAATAGATTCTAATACTCAATAAGTATATTTTTTCGCATGCAAGGAACGAACATTTTTTGACGGGTCCTCTAAGTTTTTAAATCTGGCCCTGCACATACAACTACTATCATAAACATTTAAACAATTTTCGTCAATGAATTATTCTTTATCAACAATAATTGTATTGCAGTCTTGTTATCTTACATAGATAGATAATAAATAAATATAAATTTTAAATGGAAGATAAAGATAACATGAGATTAGCTAAATTAATATTTTTAATTAACCTTTATTTATATCGATAAACGAATTACAAAGAATACTATTAATGTCGGATTTTAAATATTTTCCCTAAAAAGTAACATGTATTTAATATAAATAAATTCACATTATGTTATCTACACTTATGAGGTGATAAAGGGCTAAGTGATGTAAGTACCGAAAACTCAAAAACAATTTTTATTACATCATATTAATCTGTATATCCACGCCAATACGATAAAAAAAATTTTTAAAAAAAACTTCAATTTATAATTTGAAAAAACGCATACCCAATTATAGAGCTAACTCTTTATAGGAAAATCGAATGGTTTTTATAGGTTTCGCGAGAAAATACTTTTTGGTACTTAGATCACTTGACCCTTCTACGCCTCATATATTGTATATATTATACATAAATTAGTATCTGGGAGAGAGTATAGACTACCAGATAATTTTAAACATCAAAATATAAATTTAATTTTCTTCATTTTGAAATGAAATGAACTTTTGAAATACTACACTTACCGTGTTACTCTATTAGACATTTCAATTACTAACCCTAATTATATATAAATCATAACTTTATTAAAAAAGAACATTCTGGTTAAATTAAATATAAATAACATTCTTTAAATATTCATTTATTAAAAAACCTTTTACAAAATTGTTGAATTTACTTTTATTTAATTTAAGTACGTTATTTTATTCATTTTCATTACTATATTTTGGTAAAAATGTGTGCTTTTAATACAAAATACAAGTATGATAATTGCATTAAGTTAATCTTCAAAAATTTAAGGTCGTGACTTTTTAAAAATTTGTGCGTTAATGATGTTATTCATTAGTCATTATGATAATTTAACCAATTGTTAAATAGTTAAAAAAAAATTGAGTAAATTATTATTTAAAAATATTGTGTTATATTCAATATTAACTTATAAAATTATATTTTTACTATATAAAATTTATAATAATAATTGTGATAAATGTTTTTAATAAAAATGAGAAATTATTCAAGAATTAAAAATAATCATCTTACCGATATGTGTCGAATAAATTTCAATATGTACTTAAACGATTTTTACTGCTTCCGATTGTCTCAACTGTACAATCACGTACACTATTTACTACAATACTGAAAATGTTTAATTGGAGTATAAAAACTAGTAGCTGTTAGTAGTGTTTGATAAGCCAATACTCTACTCTACTGGCGAGTAGCCCATTACATGCGTAGCAACTGCTGCCAAACAGCTGATCAATGACATTACAAGTAACAACGAACGGCCACGATTTTGTTCAATAACTCATATGCAGTTTATTTATCCATTTTTGTAGTAAAAATTTCATGTTTATTTATGTTCAATGAAACATTGTTTTTAAATAGCATCACATAGGTAGTAAGTCGTTAAAATATTATTAATAAATAGTCATGTTAACTGAACTAACTTTATTAATTATTTTACAATAGTTCCAATTTTTACACCAAATCACAACAATAATATAAATAGATTTATAAAAATATACCAAGTTAAAAAATAACATAGACAGAATTAAGATTTAAAGACCACATAATGGTACTTAAAATAAAATAGTTTATATAAAAAAATGTCTGTTGATGGTAAAAAATTTAAATAAGACAAATGTCCATTTTTGTTATTATTGATAATTGATTATTTAAAACCAAGTATTCATACAAAACATCAATTAATAAACCTTACAAAAGGATACATTTTTACATCACAGTTTGATGGCAATATTTAAGTACTAAATGACAATTGTATAATTATATCTCATTGCAGGTTTAAAAAATTGTTTTGTAAAACAAATTTTATTACATTTTAAATGAGGTATTTAATAAATAAAAAATAATAGTTAGAGACATACAGCAACACAAAGTCCAGTTAAATTTCTTTAACTGTAATATTTATACTATAAAAACAAAACCGTGTTAAGAATGATTTAATCACTAATGGTATGATTCTAATATGTACTAGCATAGTCTATATACAATATATACATTAAAATAATAAAAGCTTACATAAGACTGATCAGTGGAAAGTTTAATTAATTATTGAGTTTTTTTTTCATAATTTATGTTATTTATATTATATTTTGTATACAATATTTTGTAAACATTAAAAAAATAAAATAAAATACATACACATGGAAGAATATAGTCAATTTTATTACCCTAGTAATTTATTATAATAATAAACTAGGAAGCCAATAAAATTAGAAAAATTGTTCATATTTTTTTCTTACCCCCCAATACTTACCAAAATAATATTTGACAAAGTTAATATTAAAAGTTGTATAAAATTATTAATCCTTCAACAAAAAAAAAAAGTTATAATAAACTTTATTACATTGTATAAACAATACAATAAGTTAAAAAAAAACCTTATAAGATATGTCATTAAGATGAACAAAAAAAAAAAAAAAACATAGTCAACGATAATTAATTTAGATAAAATAAAGTCACTACTTTATACAATAATTAAATTATGTTTTATACAATTGTAAATTTGACTTGTTTATTAACAATTACGTTGGTGGTAAACCATTTTTAACGTACCATAATATTGAAAATCAATATATTTGAAATATATACCTTACAATAACAGATCTGTGTATTGCGAAGTAAATATTACTGATAACATCGACTAGAGCCTTACAATAAAAATAATGCTTTTACATATTTATAAAAGTAAAAAGACAATAATAATAATTAATGTTATAAATGTAGAAAGTCTATAAACCTACCTAACTTAAATCTTTCCATTATTATTTATGTTTTTATTTCACATGTTCATTTACATGTAAAGAAAAATTTGTCTCACAACACTCGAATCAGTATTGCTATTTCAAAAATTAAAGTATAGTATCTTTCTTTTTTTAATCACAATTTTATAAATATATTAAGTCAAGTGTGTTGAATTATTATCTCATTACATTAAATTACTGTAACATGTAGTAGGTCATAAATATTATTTTTTAAAAAAAAGGAATCACTGTATTGTTTTTGACTGGATTATTGCCACATATTGTGGTTGTGTAAATTTCTACTAAGAACACTACGGACATCATCTGTAAATCGTAATGCATCTAACATAGGTAACAAATTCAACAGAGCTGTATCTGATGTATCTGAGAACCAAGATTTTATCGGGATAGCATTGTCTAAAACAAATAATTGAATTAATTATAAGCTTTTATAATTTAACAGTTTAGTTATAAATACCTGGAAAAGCTCTATAAGCTGCTGGTGAATTATCAAGAATGAAAACACTAGATAAATCACTAGACACAGACGTCAGATCTTTAGTGTAGGAACCCATTTCAGGTGTGCAATGTTGCCTGTAAAATCTTCTTTTAAGTATGCCTCTACGGTTATCTAATTTATCAGCAACAGCGGCACCATATATTTGCATGCTAGCTGTGAATACTACTAACTCATACCACTTTGATACCTTGATTTTTAACATAAAAAAACATTAAAATTCACTTGAAAAAAAGTTAAATAATGATTACTAACAATATCTAAGAAAAAATCAACATGTGGTCTTTTGTGGACATAAAATCGAACTGGATGCCTTTCAATGGTAACTTTTAAGATAAAATCTGGAGGCATTTCTGGTTTGGACGGATGTCTTAAAACACCTTCATGATGTGAATGAATCAATGTTTCATCTAAATCTAGCACCAAAACTTTACGTTTCACCATACCTAAACAAAAATAATAATATTTGAAATAATTGGTCACAATTAAAAAAATAATTTTTTTTTTTTATTAACTAACTCGGAAACTTTAAAAATAGAATTAGGTTTTTTCATTTTGCTTAGTATTTTGTAACTAGTAAAATAGCCTGTTTAATAGCTTCATTCATTAAAAAAATATTATTCAAAATTTTTCTAACTTTTCAGAAAACTGAAAATACACACTTACAATCTTTGCCAAATTTTAATAAATAATTTTAGAATTTGGTGATGGAATATTGATATATGTATTAATATATAATACATTAAAGTCTATTATTGAAATAGACAATGATTGTTTTTTTTTTATATTATTTATATACTCTAATTTTTTGGAAATATTTTCTTAGAACAGTAATGATTATAAATAATTTTAGAAAAATAGATACTACAAATGTTAAGTACAAAAAATAAATAATTTAGGTTAAAAATCTGCATAAATAATTCTTTATTCTTCTTTTGTATGTAAAAATTGTGTCTTATTGTTAAAGAAAACATCTATACTATGTTAACATTTTTTTTCTGTATAATATAAAGGTACCTCAACTTTTTTACCAAATTTATTAACCCTCAAACTTATACAACATTAAATTTTCATAAAGTATATGTTTTTATAATAATACAGTCTATGACCTGAAAATAACTTCTACTGACTTCATATAATTAAAATTTTGGCTTACTACAAAGATTTAGTGAGACTATACTTTTACTAACAAATATTTAAGTTTTAGTTGTAAATTTTAAGTAAAAAAAAGTTATATATATTTAGTGAAGTTTTAAACTTAAATAATTGAGTACCACTTTTGTTAGACCTTTATTTTTTTGCAACTTTATTATATCATTAATCTACTATCTAATATTTTATAAATTAAACTTTCTAAAATTACTATAACATACTTAATCTATGCCTGGATAATGGCAATAGTGGAAATACTCCATATTTAACTGGCTGGTATTGTCGAACCTACAGTAAAAATATTAAATATATTTGTAATGAATATAATCAACATAAAAATTTAAATAGCATAATTTTCACTAATTGTAATTTATAATATTTAATTAATAAAAATAGATTTGATAATACTTGATAATAAGAGTTTCAAAACAACAATATTTTAATTAAATTTTAATTAGTATTTATTTAAAATAATAAAAAACAAAGCTATAATTTGATTATGTCATCATTTATTAGGAGTTTATAATGACTTGTTGTCTAAATTTTATTACAGTAGATTAACCTTATCACTGTCAAGACCTAAAATAATTAAGATAAACAACATTATAAAAGTTGATTGTTAAATTTAAGATAATTTAATAGCAAAAAAAAAAATGTATATAAAAAATTTAAATTAAACAATTATTAAATAGTTTATGCAGTGAATAAGTCAATAATAATTTTTTTTATATTGTACATAGCAAATAATAAGTATTCTTCAGCTACATTCTTTTCATATTTAAAATTTATACTCACAGTCTTAATCTGTCGTTTGATCAAAAAACATATACAAGCCCACACTTTTGAAGCCAATACCATAAAAGCTTGAATGCCCATCTGTACAACTTTCAACATTTGAGTAGATATCTATTGCTATTGCCGCATAACTTATAAAATTAGATTTTTTTTTCTTGATTTTTATTGGGTAAAATATTTTCTAAGAAATTTTTAAATTACTATCCAGAATAAGAAATTATCTAAATAAAAATTATATTTATACTTACAAACGCATTTATTGAACTTTTTATGATGGTTTTTTTATCATTATGAGGTTGATAAAACGGAAGAAAAATTTGATCAGTTTAAAAAATCAGTATATTTACTGTACTTTTTTAATAATATTATGTAAAATTAATCATAAGGAGATCAAGTTGGAAACAGAAAAAAAACTATGAATATTTTTCTCCAACTGAACTTAATTTTGCTTCTGTAATCTATTATGCTTAAACAACAACATATTGAGATAAGCATGTCACGCCATCATAAACTAATTCAAAGAGGTTATAAAAATATATATCAAATCAGATACTGCTTCATACTAGAGGTCGCGATTGTGAACGGATTAGAAAATATATTAAAATGCGTGTATTTAATATCCGTGTATAATACCCGTGCATACATTGTATATTATTTCAGAATTAAAATATATTTTAAATATAAATATTTTTTTGATAACTTTTCCTAACTCTTTAGAAGATTTAATAACACAACAAGTTAATTATCTTAATAATCATATATTTTTTTAATAATAATTAATTTTTATAGTTATTAATTAAGCTTAAAAATTAGTAAGATGCATTCATCGTTTATTGTATAATATTATATAGGTATAAACTCTATAAACTATAAGTATTATAATGCATTAGACAGTAATATTCAAACTGGTTTTAATATTCAAACATAAATATTCGCAAAGCTATCTTATCACCAATTTTATTACATTACATTTACATACTTACTACCTATGTATGCTTTTTATTTAAATATTTTTGGTGATTTTAAAATTGTTCCATAGTCCATACTGGACCTTATTATTCCTGTGTTCACTATTACTACGTGTCACGTGAAGTGTAGATCTTGACATTTGTATTATACATGGTAAACATTTTTTCTTTAAAAAATGAGTTATCGATCTAAAAGTTGAGTATGACAATACGGCAAACGCCAAGGTGATAAAACTTTTTGTAATCTGTGTGATGATAATTCAAACAGTGTTTAGTTGTGCTGGTGTATCAAATGTAGAAACGCTAATAAAATTGCTTGCGCCTCTACAAATTATGACCACTGTGTTTTGCGGGGAAAAATATCATTCTAGTTCAATGGTGAGGCCGCTTCTAAACGCAGTTATAGAAAAGCATTTAAAGCACAATATAAGTGATGACCAAATAACTGACACGTTTTAAAACCACTGTAAAAATAGAAATTTTAGACCGTTTTAAATTACTGTGGACTCCTTCTAATGTCGTATTTGCTAGACAAATAGTGTCTTTTCTCGACCCAAGTTTCAAGGGAACTTAGAGCACGAAACGGTTGATGCAAGAGAGGAAACTCGAACACGGGTTAAAAATTTGATTAAAGAAATGGCTGAATTTAATTGCGATGTGCAAATTGAAATACCTGTAACTAAACATCACGGTGCTGTTGAATTTCTGTTCGGTGATGAAGTAAACTGTAATATAGCTGATTCTGACATTCAGTATCAAAATTACTTTGCAGAACCACAGTTAAAATTTGATTTTGATGCACGGGAATGGTGGAAGACACGTACTTCAAAATATCTACTAATTATTGCTCTGGCAATGAAATGTTTAGGGATACCAGCAACGCCAGTTAGTTCTCAACCGCTGGAAACATAGTGACGGCCAAGAGAAGTTGTTTGGCGTCCGAGACTGTAAACATGCTGATTTTTCTTTACCAAAACAAACAATTGTTATAAATTCCTAGATCGTGAGTGATTAATTTATTATTTATTTGTTAATTTTTCGTACTATATACACCTACTGCTTATACATTAATTTGATGTTATTATTGTTATTTTTTAAATTAATTGATTAATTAATATATATATTGGTACATGTTTATTATTATATTGTTATTTAATTATTATGCATGAAAGTGATTACGACTAGGAGGTAGTAGTGAACACTATACTTTATGATATGTGTACTGTCATTGTGAGTTCAGAAAGTGAATCAATCTTAAGTCAGCACTGCAAAATATAAAAATACGATTTTACTTAAATATATGAGTATTTAAGGTCACGGGTATTTAAATACCCGGATATACACGGATATTTTTACTACACGGGCTTTAACCCCTTCATAGGTAAAAAACGGGTACCCGTGTAGTTCATTACACGTGTAATCGCGACCTATACTTCATACAAAATGCTCTAATTGTTGCCTAATAATTGCCTGAAATAACAAAAATAATAATATATTGTCTATAAATGTAGTACAGAATAAATAAATTCATTAAGTATTCAAGCATATACTAATCCATCGATACCCAAATTATAACTTGCAGATAAAAAAAAAAAAGTTCAGAAATACAATTATGAAATTCATAAACTATATAGAACTTGTTCATTTGTGATACACATAGACAAGTTAACCGGAACACGAGTCAGCACCAAATTAAATCAGTACTGTCTATATCATACTGATTACGGCTATTTGTAAGTAAACTAATATATTTTATCACAATATAATACAAGGAAAATTTCTAATTTTTGCCAAGTAAACTAGATATTATTTAATGTATTATTTTTGCAAAAAGTAATTTTTGAACTGTTTCACCTTTCTATGAATGAACAAAAAAAGTAAAACTCAAATTAAATTACTATAGTACAAAATATATAGGAAACATAAAATACAGATTAATCACATTTACATAGTTACAATACTTAGATGCGTAGATTGAGTATGGATCTATCAACTACTATTCCGGTCAACTGAACCTCCTAAAAATCTATACCCTATTTACAATGAAGGGATCCGAATAGCTACAGGGGCTTTTCGGACTATTCAGTGACATGTTATCTCAAGTTATGCTGAAAAATCTATTCTTCAAATAAAAAGAGAACAATCATTCTTTAATATTGTATAAAACACACAACTGTTTTAAGTTTCATAACTAAAAATAAAACACGCTCTTTAATAAATGAGACTCTAAAAAAAGTATGTCATCTATCGACAAAATCAGTCAAAAAGTGTTAATCAGAAGATACAGAAAAAATGATAAATGAGACCTTTCAAAAACCTTAGGATGATTCATAAACTTTAACAAGCTTGAAATAAAAATTAAAACCTTTTCATAAAAGCTACCCACCCACCCATCAATACCATTCGTGAAGAAGTCATTATTATTCGAACGAGAATTGGATACGCCTTTCTAACTCATTCATGTCTTATTTCAAAAAAGAAAAACCAATTACGATACATTCTTACAAAATATCATCACTGATTTATTGAATATTTTTCACATAACATTATTAAAATAATTATAAAAATTCGTAAATTATAAAAATAAAAGTAGATTAATAACCATTTCAGTGAAACGGTCATTAAACTACTTTTATTAATATCAAACGGTAAAGTATTTTAACAAAGAAATAATTAAATGAAAAAAAAACGTTTTATATGTTATGTTGAGAAATAATTAAAATGTTAATTAATGATAAAATTATGTTTAGCTATTTTGAGAAATATCTTATATATATATATTCATGTATATTTAACTTGTAGGGTTCATCACCGGAGCGATAGTTTAAGGTCCGAGGTTCGAACTATACTGCCTACTTAGCTTTTCCTATTTTTTTGTTGTTATTATTTTTATTTCTATCGTTGTTGTTGTTTTGTTCTTATCGTCATCATTGTTTTTGTCATTGTTATTGTTGTTGTTGTTATTTTTAATTGAATGTGAACAAAATAATTAAAAAATAATTTTATTTCAATGACCGAGTACAGAAAAGAGTGAATTGCATTTTTGGCAAAAATGAGTTAATTGTGTAATTGTACTAATTTTATTATCTTTCAATTAAAATGTATTGTGTAAAAATCCGAAAAGTAAAAACTCGATACTTTAGTCACGAAATCGCGTTCAAGAAATGAATAATACATAAGAGATAAAGGTAAAAAATATTTCAAACTGCTCACTTAAAACAATAAATATGTATGTTAAGGGTATTTTTACTTTTAAAAGTATTTTTGGGTATAATCTTTTGAAAAAGTAGTTAGTTCTAACTATTATCAGTATATGGTAATAATTAAATAACATTAATCTACATGAGATAAAAATCATATGAATTTTGATTTTTTTTTTTTTGTCAATGGTTACAGCGTAGCATTATTTACATATATTTGTTTCTAATTTTTAGGCTCGAAAACAATTTTACTAATTAATTGATTATTAATCTTTATTCATTTTCACATTCATATTTAAGCTAAATGTAAAATTCTGAGTAACATTATATTTGTACTTTCACTATGGTAGATCGTTTTAAAAATAGAAGTAGATTGAAGCTTAACTACTTATTAAATAACGTTTTCAGAAAATATTTTAGATTAATATTAACTTAATTATTTTTTTTATTTTAAAACATAAATCAATGACTAGATCATTTTGCACAAATGTCCGAATGAAAAAGTATTTCAAGGTTAATAGAATATTTAATTGCATAAGTATAAATGAATATGATCTATAATTACATAGTTATCGTATTTTTGCTGAATAATTTCAGCTTGAGATTTGTTGCAATGAAAACAACATTAGTAATGATAATTTTTGTTTTTTTTTTTCGAATTAAAATATTCACAACTAACCCTAAACGCACGTCGTTCACCGCAATGAACTATTATCGTTACATTAAAAAAATATTCCAGATTCAAAGGTGTACGGACAGCAAGCATTTTTGATTTGTCCAGTTTATCCTTGACCCAGCGGCTGCATCCGAAAAGGTCACATAATAGTAGAATGGAACCGAACGGCTCAGTCATAAATCATTGAGTACACAGACATTACTGCCTACGGTCATTAGATTTGAGAAAAAAAAGCAGGAAAGCACCATCATCGTCATCTTCCTCGGTGGTGATGTGTCTTTATGTGTGTTGGGTGCAGGAAAAAACGTACAAAAATAAACAGAATAGAAAAATCCAAGGGGAGAGACGCACAAAGAGCCAACTCCACCTGTTGAAACTATCATCATTTATTATCGTCGTTAAATTCGAGGGACACTCAGTAATGTCCATTCATACAGAGCCTTCCCTTTAATTATTTATTTCACATGATATTTTTTTTCCTTTTGAGAAATTATTGCATGTGTACTATGTAGGCTGTTTTCATTCATATACTGTGTTTAATATAAGTAGGTGTTGGGATTGGACGATTTCGTTAGGAACCATAAATCAGCGCATTGGGTTT